TGCTTTCTGCACATGGCTAGCCAGTTTTCCCTACACCATTTTTAAGCAGGGAATTCTTTCCCCATTGCTTGTTTTTGTCAGGTTTGTCAAAGATCAGATGGTTGTAGATGTGTAGTGTTGCCTCTGAGGCATCTGTTCTGTTCCGTTGGTCTATATCTCTGTTTTGGTACCAGTACTGTGCTGTTTTGATTACTGTAGCCTTGTAGTATAGTTTGAAGTCAGGTAGCCTGATGCCTCCAGCTCTGTTCTTTTTGCTTAGGATTGTCTTGACTATGTGGGCTCTCTTTTGGTTCCATCTGAAGTTTAAGGTGGCTTTCTCCAGTTCTGTGAAGAATATCATTGGTAGCTTAATGGGGAGAGCATTGAATCTATAAATTACTTTGGGCAGTATGGCCATTTTCACGATATTGATTCTTCCTAACCATGAGCATGGAATATTTCTCCATCTGTTTGTGTTTTCTCTTGTTTCATTGAGCAGTGGTTTGTAGTTCTACTTGAAGAGGTCCTTTACATTCTTTGTTAGTTGTGTTCCTAGGTATTTTATTCTCTTTGTAGCAATTGTGAATGGGAGTTCACTCTTGATTTGGCTCTTTTTAATTATGTTGTTGCAATATAGGAATGCTTGTGATTTCTGCACATTGATTTTGTATCCTGAGACTTTGTTGAAGTTGCTTTTCAGTTTAAGGAGGTTTTGGGCTGAGATGATGGGGTCTTCTAAATATAGCAACATATTTTTATAGGGATATAGGAGATACTTTTAGAAATTTATAATGTACTGCTTTAAGGACTCTCAAAAATAAATCAGGCGGATTTTGAGGATGTAATAAAGTCCTGTATTATGATGATCAGGTTATCATTCTGGCAGTTGTTTACGTTTAATTCTTCACCCTCAAGATTGCCGTCTTTAGGACTATCAAGGAACCTGATCCTTCCTTTTGACCCACATCTCTTTGGGGCAACATTGACAATAGACTATTGAGTCATATGGTCCAAAGACTGGGCCTGCAATCATGGTACTATATTCTTATAGTCGTCTGTGATTAGAAATGAATGACTAATATTAAAATAATCACAAGAATCAGAGCACTATTTCAGCAGTTGTTACATTGAAACACTTCTGTCAGAAATTTAAATTATATTAAGTATTTTAGTGAATACTTTAAAAATCAATCAGTATATAGTGTCTCTACTCATCTTAGTATACCAGACAGACCATGCAAGTCCCCTGCCAATTATGTTTTCCTTGTTTGGGAGGCACTGAGAGCCCATATTACCCTACCTCCTGTGTACCTCCAGGGTGTATCCTATTATCCTATCTCTAGCTGGGCCACTGATAGGTACTTTCCCATATGCAGGCTTGCCAGTAGAATGAGATTGCCTGGCATAAGCATTCTGCCCAACAGGGGTGCCCTATCCTGGGTAGTGATGAAATTAAACTCTCTGAGGAATATGAATGTAAGTCATATAGTAGACAGAGACTGAAGAAAGCAATTTAGAAATGAGGAGACACATAGAGGAAGTTAGCAGAAGGCATGAGGAAAGAGGAGGAGATTAGAGGTAAATCAGACAATAATGATGTATGAAGCAGAGGTAGGTTGACACAGAAGGAGATAGGAGGTGCTGAGTCAAAAACCATGGAGTCTACTTGAATTAAGTCACTATTGTATCCTCAGTCATGAATGGCCTTCCAGCTCTCTTTGTGCCCTGCAGGAGTGGTTTTATTTACTTTTTTAACTTTCTATGTATCTTCATAATAAGCTTTATCACTTGAAGCCTAAGTGTGCCTCTCTGTTTCTTTAAAGATAAATGAACCTAACACCCTTCATTCCAGCACCAATTTCGTAAACTGACTATGTGGGTTTAATTCTCATGTGGGACAAGTTGGCTTTGCAAGGGTATGTGATCATCCTCTCCAACACCTAACAGCTATGAAACACATGTCAATCGTTATTAAAAAGGTGAGTTTGAGAGTGTGTAAGAACTACTGAGGCCAGATGCGGTGGCTCACGCCTGTAATTCTAGCACTTTGGGAGGCCGAGGCAGGTGGGTCATGAGGTCAAGAGATGGAGACTATCCTGGCTAACATAGTGAAACTCCATCTCTTACTAAAAATACAAAAAAAAAAATTAGCTGGGTGTGGTGGTACATGCCTGTAGTCCCAGCTACTCGGGAGGCTGAGGCAGGAGAATCGCTTGAACCTGGGAGGCAGAGGTTGCAGTGAGCTGAGATCGCGCCACTGCACTCTAGCCTCGGTAACAGAGTGAGACTCTGTCTACAAAAAATAAATACTGAAAATATGTCATCAATGTTGTAAAACAAATCAAAGCTGAAGACTATTTATAGTAGATGAATAATATTAGCTTTTTTTTTTTTTTTTTTGACATGGAGTCTTGCTCTGCTACCCCGGCTGGAGTGTGCAGTGGTGCAATCTGGGCTCAATGCAACTTCCGCCTCCCAGGTTCAAGCAATTATCCTGCCTCAGCCTCCAGAGTATCTGGCATTACAGGCATCTACCACCATGCCAAGCTAATTTTTATATATTTTGTATGTTCACAAAGCTGATCTCGAACTCCTGACCTCAGGTGATCTGCCCGCCTTGGCCTCCCAAAGTGCTGGGATTATAGGCATTGCCACAGTGCCCAGCAATATTAACTCTTTAACATGAAAAACTAACCCTTCACCCACTTTTAAATATAAATTACTAGAGAAAACCAGATAATAAATAAGTATATAGTTGAACCATATATTTAAATGTAATTATTTCTACCATTCACTGGGTAAATCTATCTCCTATAATCTATTGTCCTAACCCAATCAGGATCATGTGGAGTTTGGAAGAATTTGAATTCCTGAAATAATGCAAGTGCTGTTACCAGAAGACCAGCAAGATATGTGTGACAAAAATGATAGATAACATATGCATAACTAGGTAGAAGAGGGCTATATAAATATAGTTGATAAAATATTACATTTAAGCAAAATCCCTAAAGAGCATAGAGCAACATGAATAATATTATAAAATACTGTTATAAAACAGTGTTATGTCAGAAGGCAATAGGATTGAGGATATAACATGATTAAAACTTCAGATTATGAAAAAATAAAAACCTTTTGCCTTGTGGTGGTAGAATAATGTATTATGATATTAAAATCATTAGCATATTTGTAAGAATATTTCACAATGAACAAAATTCTTCATTAAAAAAGAAAATTCTTTTAATTCTTCATTAAAAAAGCACCTTATTCTGCTTTTAAGTAGGAAATTCCATTTAAAAAATATGAGAATCTTCTCTTCAAGTAACTGTTTATTGGAAACTGGGAACTATATGAGAGCTATGATTCTTTCCCTTGGCTGTTTACTGTTCTTCCCTCAGGTTGAAGAGCTTGATGACCATGTGAAGCTCCATTACTGTTACTGCAGAAACACTGCCAGTTTGAAATAATTGCTACCGTAAGCCTTCACTCACCACTGTTACCAAAATCTGAGTAACTTAGATGATCTGAAGGGAGGTCCCACCTTTCCCAGAGCTAAAGTCCAAAGACCCTTTCAGTGCTCTGTTTGCCACAGTTTTGAACCTGGTTGGAACTTCAGAGTGTAGGGAAGGCCATTTCTCTCCCCAGTACTATACTCAGTCTAGGACAGACTTGGATAGAAGCATGTGAAAACAACAACAACAGAATACAACTGCTTGAATTCCGGCGTAGTTCTCCTTGGTCTGCTGCGTCAACACACACACACACACACACACACACACGCACACACACAGACACACACGAACATCTGTTTTCCCTGTGATATGTGACTACCGTTCAGTTTTTCAAAGGAAATAATTGACCATTTTACTCTTTTGTGAGCATAAAGAGGGTAGGCCAGAAGAAATAACTGTCATTATAATGACATTTGTGGATGTGAAAGATTTGGAGGAGAGGCTGTCTCTGCTGAGCTTTTGACACTGAACATATGTTAATTTACAATTGGGGGTGTCTTTGGGGGGGTTATATTATGCAATAGCTATTGAGGAATGAGCAAATTGGAAAGAAGCAGATTTGGTTTGTGCAAAGATACTTCCAATTACAGTAATACATGGAACCTGACTATCCTCTATGCCTGATCACACAGCTCAGTATTTGCAAATATGTTGAAACATCTATTATTTTTATCATATCAGTACATTCTATACCTATCCATCTTCCTAACTCGGTATCTACATAGATTAATATATCATTCCAGGTCATGTGGTCCCCTGTTCACATATTATAGTTCATCCAAATACTACTCTTCCAGCCTAAATACCAGTAGGGTGACCAACTGTCCTAGTTTGTCTGAGACTGAGGGAATTCCTGGAATGTGTGACCACCAGTAACCAGGACAGTCCTGAAGAAACCAAGATAAGTTAATGATGCTAATCTCCGGGATGCTGTGAAGCCTTTACCAACTTTATTCCCACCCATTCTAAATTGGCCTTCAAGAAGTCTCTTCGTCTTAAAGTTAATACCTACTCAGTTTCAGTTTATTTAACATATATTCTCTATTGGGAGATTGTTTGCAAGTTTCTTTAGAATAGGACCCACATCTTTTTAACAGCAGAGTGTTAGTTATTAGGAAATAAGGTGGACCTAAGAATTTAAAAATTATACTTAAATTGTTTTAAACATGCAAGCTTCCTTTTGGTTGAATTAAGTAAAGCAATGAAGCTTAATGGTTATGAATGTGGGTTTTGTTTTAGGATAGGCTTGAGTTCAAATTCCCACCCTGACAGTTCTTGGTTATGTAACATTGGGCAAATTAATTAACCTCACTGAGCCTCAATTTCTTAAATCTGTAAATGGGAATAAAAATAATACACACTCCCAGGAATATTGTAGGTATTAAACAAAATAATGGCTAAGTGTGTAGTATTTTGTGTAGCACATAGCATACAGCTTGTTATTATGTGGTATTTGTTAATAAATGATTACAAATCAATTAATTGTATTCTTCCATGCATTGTTTCTTCCAGAGAGTTTATGTCATCCCAGGAAAAAGCAGTTATTAAAACTACTGATGATTATTTGCAGCCTCAGTTTGGCCCCAACAGACTTGTGCATTCAGCAGCAGTATCAGAAGGGTCAGGACTTCAAGATTGCTCTACACATCAAACAGCATCAGATCATAGCCATGATGAAATATCAGACCTACATAGCTACAAATCAAACAGTAAAAACAATTCTTGTTTTATATCAGCATCCAAGAGAAACAGACCTGTCAATGCTCCAGTGGGTCAATTGAGGTAATCAAAGCTGTTCTCTGTTATTTTTAACCTACTGTTGAAGTTCTTTCCTTTGAATAGAATTTATAATATTTCAATTGATGATCTCAGACATTAAAATATAACACAGCTCTAGGGTTTTGTTTTGTTTTTGTTTTTTTCTTTGAAAGCACCAGAGTAGAATGTTGTTAATTACACTATGGGAAATATGAGATACACTTCAACCTGAGTAATCAGAAACTCTGAAAAGGATATTTGAGGCAGACTCAGGCCAGGATCATGAAATCTCTTTGCTTATACGATACTTATTTAAAGATAAAAATGCTTTCTTTCGATATTTAACCAATAGTTTGAAACAGAATTGAGTAAAATGAAATTATTATAAAATGTTTTGTAAATATGTTTTTACATCAAGATATTGTTATCATAAACTGTTAACCAAAGAGTTCATAGACAGAAGAAAACATTGGTAAAAACAAAAATAAAGCCAGGAAACTAATACTTCGCTATTTTCAGATGTTTGAATATGTGGATATGTTGTATTCTTAATTTATGTGACATTTTTATTTTAAAATGTTTACTTTGCTTCTGTGTCATTATGAATTAACTTGGTTAGTTAGAGAATTATGTAAAAATTAGACGTGTTAGTCAGTTTACCACATACTTTTGCTGAGAAAAATCATAAAGATCAAAATTAGTTTTGCCCAAATATGAAACTTAGAAATCTTCATTTTTACTACTTCCAAACAATTTGAAATAAGAACAATACAATTAACCTTGGAATAAAAATTTAAAATAAAATCTTTTTGAATTTCAAATCATTTTACAAAATATTAAAGAACTTTGATCAACATGAAAACGGGTAGAATCTTAGCCATTTGCTGTTTCATGATGTTAAGACCATATTACTATTTTTTGCTATCAGAACATAACATATATATATAATTTTTAGTTGTATATTACATATATATATTTTAAAGGAGTGTTGTGGTTTATAAGTAAAATGATAAAAATCATTTATTCTGATATATATGTTTTATATAAGCAGTTTTGGCAAACACTGTTTTAAATTTTTTTGAATATTTAAATAGTGACAGTGTTACTCTGTAACAACAATCTTACCCCATAAAAAGTTTTGTTGGGAATACTTCTATACATAGGAACAATCTTTAGTGCTTATATCTGTTTTTAAAAAATCCAGGATAAAACTTATTTAAAAGTTTTTACATGCATCAATTTTTCTGTTTTTCTTTTTCTTCAGGGTTGTAGAATTCTCTTCTTTAAAATTTCGGTCAGCCAAGAATTGGCAGAGATTGTCTCAAAGACACAAACTTCAACCAAGAGTGATTAAAGTAACAGCTTACAAAAATGGATCTAGAAAAGTCTTTGCCAAAGTTACTGTACCAACCATCACCTTGGTAACTAGTGTTCCAAAGTTTTCTGTGCTTTATTTTTTCCCTCCTCTCTTTAAAATATAAAAAATGATAAACTTATTGTTAATGTTTTCTTTCTAAGAATCTGAATCTGCAGATTGCTTATATATATGTTGATTCCATAGGAATTTTACTCCTTTTTTTAAACAAATTTAATATATAGTGTATTTAATTAAACAAATATAATGGCATTATACCTTGTAGCATTATTAAAATGACAGATCATTTAAAGATTGAAATTAGTCAATAATTAGATATGCTTCATGCTGTGACTTACCTTTTATTTCTATATTTTCAACTGCTAGAAAATAACTATATTGGTCAAGTTACTAAACTTGGCAAGTGACTCAATTGGGTTTCTGTTCTGATCATTAGAACGTTTTGTTTTGAGGGAAATGTATTACTTTCTTTGTCATAAATCACTTTGTCTTCCTTCTCGCTTTCTTCTAGCTGCTGAAAGAGTGCACAAAAAAGCTGAATCTGAACATGGCTGCAAGACGAGTGTTCTTGGCAGACGGCAAGGAAGCCCTCAAACCTGAAGACATACCCCATGAAGCCGATGTTTATATTTCAATGGGAGAGCCCTTTTTAGATCCATTCAAAAAAATTAAAGGTAAAAAAAGATTTTAAAAAGACCCTACCCCAATATATATTAAATTGCTTAAGGGGTGCAATTAAAAAATGATTTTCTTCCTGTCTTTTTTGCATGGTTTAACAAAACTAATGTTTACGCATTTACAGCTCAGTAATAGGATAATGTGCTTAATGAAAGAAAAATCCACTGACAGCCACGTTTATTGCCCTTCATTAGCATTGGTGCTTAATTTAATATAGATCTGAATAGACATTAGGGAGCCTGCAGGAGGTTAAATGGTGAAAATATAATAAATTAAATCAGAGATTATTGAATTTACTGTTTAGTTTCTGTGACACTCAACAGACATAATTCATTAGACTTATTCTCTCAGAAAATAGTTCCAAGTTTCAAGTATCATTTATTCATTTACACTCTTGATCTTTTTTCAGATAGTATCAACATAATTATGAAAATGTGGCCAATAATGAACATATATTTCTTACATACATATGATTCTCCTAATAACATTTAACATAATACATGTTCCAGCTTATTTATTTTTTACCTTAAAATATAATCCTACACACATTTTCAATTAAGGTTTTCCAAAAAGCTCATTGCTTCCAACATTTCAGAAATGTGGAGAGTTTCTAAAATTAAAAAAAAAAAACTAGCATTTTTCTTTCTTCAGTAGAAAGGAATACATTTTAAGAGTGAAATAAAAGCACTACTCTCTAAGAATATTCTCCCAAGCATGTTGTAGCCAGAGTTTGATATCAAGTGCTATGTATGGTAATCGGATTTAAATAACTTGAGGAATAAGGACTTTGCCATAAAAATTCAGTACGTCTAACTGCTGTGCTTTCCTATGCTTTTTATACTTTATTAGAAGTAATTTTTTCTGCAACTTCTCTAAAGCTAGTGAATCAAAGGCAAGTCTAGGCAGTAATTGCATAAGTAGAAGAAAAGTAATTCTGGAGTTCATTACAGATGAGGTGATGAAAATCTTTCTTCTGTTAATGTTATTGTATAAAATCGTACTAGGATGTTTATCTTTTTAATGATATTTGATCTTCAGGAAATAAGCAATTTCTTGAATTCAATAGAAAATATAAGATAATTTGGTTATTGTAAAGAAACTTGTTGCTATAATGCTCATTGAAAATTACCTATGTGATTGTGTAGACTCTTATATTTTTCACATTTTGCTGTAAGTTTAAAATACGGCTGGCTGCTTTAATTTTATATTAATCGAGTCATTTGCTTATATAAAAACATGAGTCTTAGACGGCAAATACTTTTCTGTGACTTTAAAAAAATTCAGCTATATATGTAAATATTACTTCATTAAGATCTTTGATTATTGTTATTACTAAGAAATGCTTGCCTTTCATAATGGTATTGTAGAAGAGACATATAACAATTATTTATGGCTAAGCTAAGAGGAAAATCTCCTGGACATGTATGCCTAAAATAATAATGTCACACACATGACTGAGCTTGGTGGATGATTTTTAAATGTACTAACTAATTTCCTCCTACTTTTTGTTTTCTCTTTTATCCTTTTCAAAAGCCAAGTCCAGAACAAAAAACTTCTCTGCTTTGTCTGCATATCTTTGGCTGTGTTTCACTGTGACATGCACTGCTGTTCTTTTAGCACCAAAATGTTGGCACACACTCCTGAAAATTTCACACCATCTCTTGCTGGATCAGCAAGCTTAACCCACCAAAATCTGGTGTTGTGCAATGGTTTTTGACTGATAATCAATCTTTATGCTGCTCGACAGTTGTTGCTGGGACACGGAGTAGAGCATGTGGCAGATGTGCCTTGTCTTTTGAGAAAAGAAATTGTAGGTGAGCTTGGACACAGACTAGCATATCACATGTCCATTAAAAAGAGTTAGGATAAGTATAATGGGGAAAAGCCATTCATTTAAGTTAAACTTATAGATAAGCTTAAACAACTATATTTGGTTTCACAATGTTAAGAATATCAACGTAAATATATATACATTTATATATGAAAGGTAATATTTAACACTTTTTCAAACCACCTACATCAGCTTGAAGACTATCTTTCTGTCATCTGTTTCATAGATAAATTGATAGTTTTCCAACTAGCCACAAGTGTACCATTAAAATAAAAACATGTATGAATAACTTTGAAAGTGGTAGATGAACTTAAAGAGACATGATCAGAAGTTGGAAAATTGAACATGATAAAGGTAAATAGGAAAATCAGTTGGCAGAATTGAGTGTTACTGATGTATCTTTCTAAATGAGCATGAATATTTTGTTTACAATTGGTAACTGGTCACTATTTTAATTTGAAGGTTTTATTCATTCAACAAACATTTATTGAGAGTCTGTATGTGCTTAATACTAGGCCAGGTCAGAGGAAGAGAAAAGCAGGAACTCATAGTCTGATTTCTTTTTTTATCATTATTTCTTCATCTCCGACTTAAATTCAATTTAATGCAATTCAATCAAAATTTAAATCAATACATAGTTATTTAGTACCTACTATGTGTGCCCCAGGATAGGGATAGAAGTCCTGGTCTTTAAGGAACTTAAACTCAGTAGATAACTTATAAATCCTTCAACCTGAGAACACTATTTTACAAAATAAATCAAATGGATCTTGTTTTATTTCTGGTATTGGAAGGCTAAACAAGTCAGTATATATTTTGGCAATTACCTTTCCATACTTCATTGGTTTTTCTTTTTCATTGGAAAAGCAATGTAGATAGAGAAAATTGCCTAGGAACTATTTCCAGATTTACTAAGAGAAAAAAAATCCTACAGAACATCTCTGATATTTTAACTATTTTACTATGCCTTTTGAGCATCACTGTTGACAACCAGTGGCATTGAATCTAATAGAAAGCCAGAGAGCTATTCATCACATACCTTGAAACACAAAGCTTTCATATAGAGGTCAGGCCAAGGTCAAGCCTGACATGAAGCATTCCTTGTTGAAATGCAGTATTAGAATAATTCTTACATTTTAAAGTTGAATACCTAATCAGAAGCATTAATTGTATATGGAAAAGATCAGGAAAATATAAATATTTCACATAAATACTGTTGATAATGATGCCTTACTAGGTATTGTACTTCTGGCATTTAAAGTTTCTAACATTTTTTAATAATTCATTGAAATTATGAATATGAAGTCAATGAATTGTTTGAAAAAGCATATTAAGTTTTCTCATTCATGACCATGTGGTTTAGGTTTTATTCACAGTTTCCTGAATCTTCTGCTTAATTATGACACAGTGAAAATTCTTGGATCAGATCCATGGGGTTTATAAGAATTCAGCTCCTTTATAACTGCTAGGAGCTGTAAGTAATGCAAACATAGCATAATAAATGGTTTGGGTCCTGTGATTGCCTGAATATCTTAAATAAGATGAGGGAAAACACTGTTTAGACCTAATCCATTAGGTCCAAGTTCTATCATATGGATCTCTGATTGTCTTTAGAATTTTTTAGTTTTATATTTCTACTCTCTCCAATATGTCCTATTCTGTTACTGGGCTTTCAGAATTATCATTTACAGTGATTCATTTCAGTCCTGCGTTTTGTTAACCAGAAGTGAAACTTGATATTATGAATAAAATTTTAAATCTTTTATATCCTGTATTGTGAATATGTAGTCACAGAAAAAAATGTGTGAAAGGAGTTCTTGATACTACACCTAATACTAAACTTAAGCCTAGAGATTTTCTACTAACTGCCATGTGATCTACAAAATGAAATAATTTGCTGTGACAGCTTGTGATTGACAAGGATAGTGTGAGCACATTTAAAATAGGCCATCTTTTCAGGTAGAAGTGTCAGTGAAATGATGGATTCTATCATTTTAATTATTGATGATTTGGAAATATTTCAATTCCATGACATGCAAGACACATTCTAAATAGCAGCATAACACTTTTTCTCATATCTACATCATAATGAAATGTTCTGTCATATTTTGTTTTTCAAAAAACAAAGACATTAGTTTAATGAACCTGGATTCATGCATTATATTCTCTTCCATTATATGTCTACTGAATTTGTTGGTTTTTAAATTGTTATGTTAAAAGCACAAGTTTTAGTAAGTGACCCACTACTCACATCTCATCATATCTTAATATTTCTGCTGCTAGATCTCGAGACAGAATGCAATAGTGCTACTACACCAATGGCTGCTTTAGTCTTGCCAAAGCTGATACCAGCCTATGTGATGTTCATCTGTAGGGCAACCACTACTTAATTCATCAGCTACAGTTGTGAGGACTGGCTTTCCCAAATTCCCTTTTATCTTTTAGTTTGAAGAGTGTATTTATTAGGTGAGATCATTTGTACATTTTAACTTTCACTTCTCTGTATATATTCAAAAGGAGGATGATGGCATTATATGGAGAAAAATACTACCATTTTCTTCTGAGATATCATATGATTTTTATATTTCTATAAGTGAGAGCAAAACTATTTTAGGTATTTTGTGTATTTTCTATTCCAAAGTTTTAAATCTGTAAATAAGAGAATAGAGTATCCTTACTTATAAAATGGATGTGGATTTGAAGACAATTATAAGAGATGGACCAAAAAAGTGTTCTTAGCCAGTAGGTAAATTTATACCTTGCATGTGGCTGGCAGCATCTCCTTATATTATCAAATATCAGATCATTAAAAAAAAACCTAAATTATTGATATAATCATGAAATGTTGAATTATATTCATATACAGAGACTACATTTGTTTACTACAGATACTTGCAAAGCTATACTGTCCTGTTAACTTGAATGCTTTATGCACACAGTTAAATGCTTTAAATGTATTACATTTACTCTTCACAATCCCTGAGTTAATGCTACATGTCCATAATCTCATCTTTATTCCAAAATCCAAGAATATAAAAGACCAAATAGTTTTTCATAACTCATTTGGTAGCAGAGCCTTACTTAGTGTAACTAGTCAATTATATTGCTGAAAATAATTAGTGTGTTTGATTGTGGGCTGCTATTCTTGACCTGTATCATATACAT